GCGTGCCGATGTCGGTGCAGGTGCAGCCCGACTTCGGTGACCCCTGGTGTGGCCGGCCGATCGCGGTGGAGGATCGGCGGCGCGCCAGAGGGGCGAAGGCAGAGAGGCCCCCTTCTTCCCCCCCTCCTCCTCCCCCCCCCTGCCTTGGGCCCTCCGAAGTTCGGGGTGTCGCTGTGTAGCCCGCGCGGCGTCCAGTCAGGACAAGTTTGTCCTCTCCAGTGCCGAGTGTCCAGCCCCACAGGGATACGGCCACGTGATCGGAACACGTGGCCCCTACGTGTTCTGCCGCTCCTGCGGTTATCACAGTGCTTGTAAGATACATAAAGGTCTGCCGCGGAAAGCCAGAGCCGATATCACCAAAAGTAGGCTGGCGAAGTTAATGAATGGACGGGATCCCTGTACAGATGCACACTTGGGGACCGTAGGTATCCCCTGTCCCCACGTTTTGGATGACGCCAGCGAGTACGTTGCCCCACCCTTGAGGCAGACGGTCTGCGCACGCCCATGCGCCAGGTGACCGTTCCAGTTGCCACGAGGGGCTGGAGGTCGCCTCAACAGACTCTGGCCCGAAGTGGCCGCAACAAGGGGTGGCTCTTTGTTTGCTTCAGCCGCCGTGCCCGCGTCTGCCCTCGGCGAGCGGGGCTTTCGAAAGAACGACATGTTGAGCCCAATTAGTTTCTGTGTGTCGTGTTGCAGCCAGCGTCGAGCAGTCTTGTGCTCAACCGGCTTCAGATAGCTGAATCAGAGCGTAGTTCAACGCAGCAGCCAGCGGTTCGGCCCTGGTGGTGCGATTTATTTTCTCTGGCCCGTAGGCCCGGGACGACTTCAGTGCCATAGGGGGGGCGGGATTTGTCCGCCCCAGCGTGTTTTTCTCGACGATCAGGAGGAGGCGCCTTTAGAGGAGGAGAACTGGGCAACTTGAATTAACGGGACGCCGGCATTCGGCGTCGAAGGAAGAGGCGCCGCTGTGACGTAAAGTCGGTATTCAAAACTGAGTACCCAGCTCTGGCGCTCTAAAGTTGGTGTCTTTCAGAAGCCAGTGTCTAGGAATTCCCAGTGGTGCTCGCGTGTCTTCGTTTCGCCACTCTGCAGGTTACGGTGGTGTGAGAATCCCTCGTGCATCAGAGCCCCTACCGAGGGTATGCTGCTGCGCCCGCGCCTCCCCCTTCAGGCTGGCCGCCGCCCGTCTCACCTTCGTGGTCGTGTCGTTTTCTTTCTGCCTTTTGGGAGCTGGCCCCCCCCCTGTGCGGGCCTCGCCACGTCTTGACTCTGGACTCTCGGCTCCTCCGTGTTGGATGTCCGACGCCCGATTTCCAACATATAACTACTTTGAGACTGTCTCGGGCGAAAGCTTCATTTGTGTGAGCCACCGTCGAAACGTAACTCCCCAAACATTCCCATTTCGTGAGGCTGTGTCAGGCGAAACGCTCCCTCCACACCATGTTGGGTATCCGACGCCCGGTGTCCAACATCTCGAATTTCCGATGATGTCTCGGGCGAAAGCTTCATTTGTGTGAACCAGCGACACGTGCCAAACGCATACGCGACGAGATGCATGTTGGAGAGCACCCCAGCCCTGCCTTCCGTACTCGTATTTTTGCGTGCTTGTTCGACACCTTTCCAGTACATGGCCGAAGGCCCGCACACTGAAATGGAAGCCTGGGCCTGAGCCCTCACCGGGAAGAAAGGGGTCCAGGCGGCTTCTCAGGAGGCCGGCGGACCTCTGAGAAACCCTGCCGTTCTTTGAAAAGGCCCGCCCCCTCAACGATCCTCATCGTCTAGCATTCGGGTTCTAGCTCGGGTCTCTGGCGGCCGTTCGGGACGACCCGGGCGCCCTTGTACGCCTTTCGGCGAGGCGCAGCCGCTGGAACGCACCCCGAGGCTGGAGAAACCGCCAGAAAACCTCGAACCTCGGAGCCGAAGCTTCCCCCCTCGGCGCGCCCTGGTAGGCAGGGCATCGGGGAGCTAGCTGCTACTAGCTGCCGTCGGTGCTCTTGGAGGCCCCCGGCCGACTGCTCGGGTGAGCTAGCAGTCGCGTCTTCTGAGCACTGGTCATCCATCAGTGGCAAGAGTGCATCACCGAGCGCGCTCCACTACTCGCAAAGTGCCTACTCGCAAACGTCCGAAAAACACATGCCTGCTTCGATGTAACTTAGCGTAGTTCCACCGCGGCGGATCCAGGCCATTTGCGAGTAGTTACTTTGCGAGTCGTGGAACGCGCTCGTCGAAGAGTGCAGAAATATGGATTGCTGTACCCCTCGGCGCGCCGCCGAGAGGAGGCGCCCCCGCCGCCGCCGCGGCCGCGGCCCGCCGGGCAGCCCGCCACGGGCCCGTCAAGCGGGCAGGCCGCGCAGGGCGGCCCCGCCTGGCAGGCGCAGGTGCGGGCCGCGAGGCTGCCGCCGTCCGAGGCGTGCACCAGCCCTTCGGCGCCCTTCGGCGGTCTTCGGCGGCCAGGCGACGACGGTGACGCCGACGACGCCGAAGACGACGACGGCGCCGACGACGACGACGACGACGACGACGACACCGACGACGCCGACGACGATGACGGCGACGACACCGCCGACGAGGACGCCCACGCTGCCGACGCCGACGACGATGGCGACGGCGACGACACCGCCGTCCTGCCGACGACGATGCCGCCGACGACGACACCCCCGACGTCGACGCCGACGCCGCCGACGACGACGACGCCGACCACGACGCCGACGCCGACGACGACGACGGCGGCGACGACGGCGGCGCCGATGACGACGACGACGCCGACGACGACGACGCCGACGAAGACGACGCCGACGACGACGACGACGACGACGACTGCGACGGCGACGACGACGCCGACAGCGACGACGACGCCGACGATGACGACGCCTTCGACGACGACGACGCCGACGACGCCGAAAACGACGACGCCGCCGACGACGCCGACGGCGCCGACGCCGACGCCGACGCCGACGACACCGACGACGCCGACGACGATGACGTCGACGACGCCGCTGACTACGACGCCCATGATGCCGACGCCGACGACGACGACGGCGACGACGCCGTCGACCTGCCGACGACGACGCCGCCGACGACGACACCGACGACGACGCCGACGCCGACAACGACGCCGATGCCGACGCCGACGACGACAACGACGGTGGTGACGACGACGACGCCGATGACGACGACGACGCCGACGACGACGACGCCGACGACGACGACGACGATGACGCCGACGCCGATGACGACGCCGACAGCGTCGACGACGACGCCGACGGCGACGGCGGCGTTGACGACGAGGACGACTGCGCCGATGACGACGACGACGATGACGCCGACGCCGATGACGACGTCGACAGCGTCGACGACGACGCCAACGGCGACGGTTTTGACGACGACGACGACGGCGCCGATGACGACGCCGGCGACGACGCAGACGACTTTGACGACGTAGTCGATGTCGACGACGCCGACGACGAAGACTACGACGATGGTTGCGACGACGCCGACGACGACGCCTTTGACGACGCCGACGACGACGACACAGCTGACGACGACGATGACGCCGACGACGACGACGACGACGGTGACGCCGACGACGACGACGCCGACGAAACCGTCGACGCCGACGCTGACGGCAGCGCCGACGCCAACGCCGACGACGATGCCGACGCCGACGACGACGCCGATGACGGCGACGGTGACGGCGACGACGCCGATGCCGCCGACGACGAACGACGCCGACCACGAAGACGGCGACGCCGACGCCGACGACGACGGCAACGACGGCGACGATGACGCCGACGACGACGACACCGATGACAACGACGTCGACGACGACGATCTCAACGCCGTCGACGCCGACGACGAAGGCGACGACAACGCTGCCGCCGACGACGCCGACGCCGACGTTGACACCGACGACGACGACGCCGAAGCCGCCGACGACGACGCCGACGACGACGGCGGCGACGGCGGCGTTGGCGGCGTCGGCGCGACGTCGCCAGCGCCGACGACGTCGACGACGCTGACGCCGACGACGCCGACGCCGACGGCGAAGAGTCCGCCGCCGACGGCGTCGACACCGGCGCCGATGACACCGACTATACCGACGCCGACGCCGACGCCGACGATAATCACGCCAACGACGTTGCCGACGACGACGCCGACGGCGACGACGACGCCGACGACGACGACCCCGATGCCGACGACGCCGACGCCGACGTCGACGACGCCGACACCGACGACGCCCACGAAAAAACGCCGATAGTGCCGCTGCCGACGACGGTGACGACGTCGACGACGACGCGGACAGGCGACTGTCGTGGATGGTCACAGAATACTGTAGGGGCCTCATCCTGCGGCGCGCGCCCACGGAACGCTGGGCGCCGCGCGCGCGTGTGTCGCAGGCGGGCGTGCCGAGCAGGCGGATCAGGCGGGTCGCGCATGTGGGGAGCGCAGCGATGCGCGCCCCCGCCGCGGTGTGCCACCGCCCCGCGGGCGCGGCCGCGGGCCTGCGTGCGGCGCAGGCAAGTATTACATATATTAAGAAGCGCCGCGCGTGCCCGTCTGTGTCTCTTGCTGCCTGGTCTGCTGGCTGGCCCCGCTGCCCTGTCTTGCTGGCTGTGCCTCGATGCTGTCTCGTTCGTTCGTTCGGTCCTCGCGTTCGCTGCTTTCCCCCGCTGGCCCGCCTTTTCGGCTTTGCCTCGCCGTGTCCGGCTTGCTTTCGGTCTTTGCTTTGCGCGCGTGCTTCTCCGCCTTCCTTGGCCCGCCGCCTTCGCTTGTCCTTGTTCTGCTGGCTGGCCTCGTGGCTGTCACGTTCTTTCGGTCTGCGTCTTTGTGCCCGCGTGCCCCTGGGCGCTCTCTGGCTGCGTCGTGCCGTTTTTGCCCGCTCGTGGCCCTTGCCCCGTGTGCTGGCCTCCTTCCTCTGTTGCTGTCGCCCTGCTCCCCCATGCCCTGGCGCGCGTGCGCCGGCCGTCGTCGCGCCGCCGCCCTCGCTTCCCGCGCAGGTTTCGATTCCCATCTCCGCTCCTCCCGCGCGCGCTGGGTGATAGTGCGCCGAGGGGTCAGTGATTTGCGCGGCTCAAGGTCAGGACCTTTGACCCTCTTCGCGGGGCTTTGCGTTTTCAGGGCGGCGTGGTGGCCAAATGCGGGGGCCCCCGTGCGGCTGGTCGCCCCTCGCCGCCTGGGTCGTGGAGGCGCCCGCGCTGAGCGAGGGGGCGCGCAAAGTACGCGTTCGCTTTGTTCTCGGCGTTGCGTTTGTTTTCCTCACGGAGGACCTGGTGGTCGGGTCCGAGTGGGAGGGTGCGCAGTTCGATGTTGCGATCGCCGTGCTGCGCGGGAATGGTTTGACGGCGCCGAAGTTGCTGGGCGATTTGAATTTGCCTGTGAAGCTGCCCGCGCTCGCGAAGGGGCTGCTGGCGCGGTCGCTGGCGCGGTTCAGCAGTGGCGACCTGCCGGGTCTGCGCGTCCACGTGGATGTTGGCGATGTGCTCAAAGCGACGCGCCTGGCGGACGTCGATCACGAGCTGTGGCCGAGGTGCGCGTCATCTCTGGGGGGGCGTCCGTGGCGGCGAGCTCCGGGCGGCCTTGGCAGGGCCCAGTCCCCTGGAATGCTGGCCGCGGTGTCCGGGGGGCTCTCCTGGAAGACCAGTCGGCTCCCAGCTGCGTGTTAAAAAATTGCGGGGGGGCATCCCGGGAGGCCCCCCAGGGCGGGTCGGCGGGCTCCGTCTTTCCCGTGTCCGAGGGCATTCTCCGCGTGACCTAGACAGAGTATGACCTTGCCAAGAAGGCGGGGCGGCCCCCTCCCGCGGGGGCCGATAGAGTCGTCGCGCGCGGTAGCCAGGGGCGCGCGGCGACGACGGGCGGGGGGGCTGGCGCGGGCCCGCGCCCGACGCCCCCGCGCGGCGCCCCGCGGCGCCGAAGGAGAGGCCCGACGGAGCGCCGCTGGCTTAGTCGCAGCAGGGCAAGCGTTAGTGGGGCCAGGGCTGGTGCAGCGGCAGGGGGGCGCAGAGTTCGAAGTGGGCGAAGTTCCGCGGCTGACTTGCTCCGCGCCCGGGCGAATCCGCGCGCCCTGGTGGCGTGGGCGCGCGGGTGCCTTGCAGTTTAATTTCGGGAGAGGCGAGCGCGTTCTCATGCGCTGGCGCTGGCCCTCGCGCGCAGGCTGCAGCTGGTCGCAGCGTTGCGCGCGCTGTGAATGCCGCTGGGTGGGGGGGCGATTGCGCCGGTTCCTCGCCCGCGGCGCGCTCCCCCGTGCGCGCCGCGCGTCTCGCCGCGGGTTTGTGCCCTCGCAGATGATGCGTGCGTGGCAGATTCAGCGCCGGGGCCGTCGGCGTGCAGAGCCTCGGATGCGGCCGCGAATTGGCGCGCGGCCGATTGCGCCGGTGGGGGCGAGTGCCTCTGCGATAGTTGCCTTTGACGCCCCCCGCTCGGCGCCCCTCGCGATGCCCGCGCGCGCGGGGGGGGGGGCGTCCCCGCCGCCCAGGAAGCTGGCGGTGACGACAATGAGTTCACTATCAGCGCGGAGCGAGGCCAGGCTCGGGCCCCGCGCGCGCGGTGCATCGCAGGGCAGAAGTCAGTGGGCGCGCGGCGGCGATTGGCCGAGATCCGCGCGGAGGTTGACGCGCCCCTGGCAGATGAGTCCAGAGGGGCGGCGCGTCGCGGCTGGGCCATCCGAGGTGGGCGGAACCGCCCCCTCGGACCACGACGCCGCCGCCTCGTCCATCCGACGTGGAGGAGGCAATTGGCTGGGCGAGGGGCGCGACGTGGGCAGCTTTGCGCCGCGAACGCAGCGACGCGCTGCGTTGCCGGGGTCGGGGAAGCGAGAAGCTGAGAGCGAGTTGGCGGCGCCGTCGTGCTGGCTTCCCGCAGCGCGTCCAGTCGGTCCTCGGCGAAGACATATGCATTTTCCTGCTGCAGGTGCGCCCCCGCTTGCTGCGTCGCCGCGCGCGCCGCCAGCGACGCGTTGCGCGCCCCCGGGCAGGAGGTGAGGGGTGCTGCTGGATTGGGTGCGTGGGCCAGCATCTGGCATCAGCTCTAATGGTTGTTCCGCCGATGAGGGTAATTCTTCCTTCGGGCATCGCGCCCAGGTCGCGGCGACCCTGCGGGGTGCGTCGAAGCGGGCCTGAGGGCGTGGGCGCATCGGAGAAGCCGCGAGGTACTCCGCTGGGCGCACCGACCAGCTGTCTTGGACGACGGCGCGCGCGGCTTTGGAAGTGAAGGCCGACCGGGAGGTTGGCTCAGCGCGCGCAAGCCTCGTCTCCCGTGGCCTCGCTACGCCCGGTCAGAGCGCGCGGCCGGCCCGCGCGGCGTGGGCCGCGCTTGGCGCGGCGCTCGACCGCGGCGTCGCTGCGCCGAAATTCCCAGGTGACGAAGGCGTCTGGTCGTCCCGTGACGGCGCCCGCAAACAGAAAGTTCGGGCGATTGACGATTTCAGTGCCTGCTGGGCCAGTGCTGCTGCCGCGACAAGTGAGACCATGGCTCTGGGTGCCTTCGACTCGCTCGTCGCCATGCCGCGCGTGGCCGCCCGTGGCGCCACCTGGGCGCATTTGTGGCTTGGGATCTTTGGTTTCGTCGGCGACTGCAGGGCGCTGCCCCTTCGCTCGGACGCGTTGAAGTCTGCCGACTCTGCGTGGGGCGCTGGGGCGGGTGAACGCAAGTGCTTGCTGTTGCTGGCTTGCCCTTGCGGTGCGACGGCGTCGGGGTTTCAGTGAGCGCCCGGAAATTGCCGTCTGGCGCTTTCTGGCCGTCCTCTTCCAGGTGAGCAGAGGGAGGTTTTTCGACGATACCTTCTCCGTGCGCCACGAGGGCTCCGAGTTGGTTGGTTCGTGCGTTGGAACAGGTGGAGGCATCTGTAAACCGCCGCGTGATGGAAGGACTGCTCGGGTGGGCCCTGGATTTCGACAGAGTGTGCGCTGGCGCATCAGAGGCTAAGGTCCTCGGGGTGCTCGTCTGGTGCTGCGACGATGACCAGTGCGTGCTCCTGAGTATACTGGAAGACAGCACGCGTAAGTGGATTGCCCAGATTGGGGAGGTTCTGCGCGCTGGCTGGATGTCCCTGGCGGCGGCGCAATTCATGGCTGGCCGCCTGGGGCAGGGTGCGAGCCAGGTGTTCGGGCGTTCTGCGAGGCCGTGCCTGGCGCCGTTGTTCTTCCATGATCAGCCGAGAGTCATGCCGCGGACCGGGCGCGTGCGCCCGTCATTTCTTTGGTGGGCGCGTGATCTGGCTGCCTGGCCATCGCGGATATTCCCGTTTGTCTGGTGTGACCGACCGAGGGTGCTGCTGTGTGCAGACGCGACGGGCCGGGGTGCTTGGCTCGGGCAATCTCGTCCTCGGCTTGGAAGACGTTCGCCTCAGTCATGGCGCCCGCCGCCGTCGTGCGCTGGCTGCGACCCCGGAAGGCTCGGGTCGCGGCGCTCGAGCTGATTGCTGCGCTTGCGGGTGCGCACCGCGTGATCAGGACCTCCCCGGGTGCGGGCGTCGTCGTGTTCATCGATGGCAGCTCCGCGATGGGGATCCGGCACGGGGGGTCCTCGCGCGAAAATGATCATGGCGAGTTGGCGTGCGAGATTCCCGCGCGGGGGCAGGGGCCGCGCGACGTGGCCCGTTGCCGCTGCGTGAGGTGGCGGGGGTGTGACTGGCGGCGGCGCCCGCGGATTGCGCCGACAGTTAAGACAGCGCTTGCGAGACGCGGCGCGCCAGATTCGCAGTGATACCGAGCGCGATTTGCGTCGGGGGCGCGCGCGAGACCTCGCGACGCGAGGGGCCCGCCTGGCTGAGAGTCTGCGGCAGGCGACTGGAGATCGGCACCCTTCCTTCAATGCCTCGACCGCGAGGAATGTCAGGGAGGCGCGGTAATCGAGGTGCATGGCGCGTAGTCGTCGAGCGACGATGCGCGCGACCGCGACCCCAGAGCGTGTTTCTGTCGCGCTTGTTTTTCTGCGCGCAGCGCGGCGCGCGAGCCGCGCGGTCGCGCGCCCTCCATAGACGGCCCTCGTGGCTTGCGTCGCTGGCTGGGTGCCGCCGCGGTGCCCTCCTGGCGAGCGGCGGGGGGTTTGGGGCGCGTGGGGCGCCAGGGCGGGCGTCGCGACTGGGCGTCGCGAAGCAGTGGGCGGCGTTCACGGGGCGGGTCGCGTCGCCCGCCGCCGCCGCCGCCCGGTCGGAGCTGGCGCTGGCTGCGCCGTGTCCGTTTCGCCATGTGCCGGCGCGGGTGCCGCGCCAGTGGGCGGCGCCGAGCTATTCTGTGGTGGATTCACAGGCGAATGTTGGGAATGGTCACGCAATGCAGTGGGGCCCTCGTCGCACTGCGCGCGCCCGCGGAGCCGTTGGCGCCCCGCGCGCGTGTGTGTGTCGCGGGCGAGCATGCCGATCGGGCGGATCAGGCGGGGCGCGCGCAGGGGCGGCGCGACGACGCGCGCCCCCGTCGCCGTGCGCGATCGCAGTTGCACGGGTCAGCCTGCGGACCGCCCCGCTCGTGCGGTCCTCGGCCTGGGTGAGGCGCGGGTGAACTGTGCGTGTATTATTCAGCGCCGCGCGTGCCAGCCTGTGCTTCTCTTGCTCGCGCCCGCGCCGCCCTGTGTGCTACTTGGTGTTGTTGACCTGTCGCGGTGTCGCCGGGGCCGGAGCGGGGTAGCGTTCGCGGGGCGGGTCGCGTCGCCCGCCTCCGCCGCCCGTTCGGCGGTGGCCCCGGCAGCGCCATGTCTGTTTCGCCCTGCGCCGGCGCGGTCGCCGCGCCAGTACATGGCTCCGAGCTATCGGCAAGTGTCGCCGACCCTGGGGATCATTGGGGAGGAGGGCGCGGAGCTGGGGCCAGAAACGGGCATCGGGGCTGGGACCGGGGCCAGTGGATGAATCCGGGAGCCGGGGCCGGCGCTGGGACCAGCCGCAGCTGGGGCCCGGGCCGGGAGTGGGCCAGAACCGGCGGGATCGGACACGGGGCCGGGGACGGAACTGGGAACGGGGTCGGGGCCGGAACTTGGGCGGGGTCGGGGCCGCGTGCGGAGGCCGGGGCTGGAACCGCGGGGCCGGAGCCCGAGCCGGGACTGGGAGCTGGAACCGGGACTGGGGGCCGGCTGGGGTCAGGGCCGCGGCCCGGCCAGCGAGCGATTTTGGCGTCGTTTCTCGTGTCTGCGGGGTCGCAGGCCCCCGCACAGCATGATCATCAGTCGATGGCGGCGCTGGTTGGACCACCTGCGGTCGGGGCTGGGACCGGGGCCGGAAACGGGGATCGGAGCCGGGACAGGGATCGGAAGCTGGAGCCCGGTGCCGGGACCAGGGTTGGGACCAGCCGCCAGCCGCGGCCAGGGCCAGGGCCGGGGCTGGGACCGGGAGCCGTCGACCGGGGTTTAGGACCGGCGGGATGAGAGATTGGGGCTGGGGGCGGAGCCGGGGCCAGAGTGGGAGCGGGGCCGGGGCCAGAGCCTGGGCGGGGTCGGGGCCGCGGGCCGTGGCTGGAACCGGGACCAGAGCCGGAGCCAGGGCCGGGGGCCAGGGCCAGGGCCAGAGCACGGCCAGGGCCGGGGCCAGGGCCGGGGCCAGGGCTGGGGCCAGGGCCGAACCGCCCTGGGGGGGAAGCGTATCGGACCCAGGACTTCCCTGGGACCCCCCTCCCCTCCTCCCGGCGGGAACGGGTGAAGGGGAAGGGGCTTCCTTCGACGTGTTTCTGGAATTTGGTGGAACCGCGGGACGCGGGCTTCCTGGGCCAGGGTCAGGGCCGGAGCCCAGCCAGGGCTGGGGCCAGGGCCGAACCGCCAGGGGGGGAAACGTATCTGACCGAGGACTTCCCTGGTACCTCCCCCTTCCAAACGGGAAGGATGAAATGGAATGGGTTTCCTTCGACGTCTTTCTGGAGTTTGGTGGAACCGCGGGATTTGCGGGCTTGTTGGGAGAAGCCAGGGCCGGGGTTGGCCGTGACCAGAGCCAGAGCCGGGGCCGGGGGCTGGGGTCAGGGCCAGGGCCCCGGCAGCGCCATGTCTGTTTCCCCCTGCGCCGGCGCGGTCGCCGCGCTAGTAGATCGATGGCTCCGAGCTATTTTGTGGGCGCCGACAGCGCCGACGACCACGACGACGCCGATGACCCTGGCGACGCCGACGCCGATGACGGCGTCGGCGACGAAGCCGACGCCGATGACGCCGATGACGACGATTCCGACGACGCCGACGACGACCACGCCGACGACGGCGACGCCGACGTCGGCGACGACGACGCCGACGACGCCGACGACGCCGACGACGCCGCCGACGCCGCCGACGACGACGACCCCGACGCCGACCACGACGCTGACGGCGACGCCGACGACGCCGACGACGACGACGACGCCGACGACGTCGACGACGCCGCCGACGACGACGACGCCTTCGGCGAATGCGACGTCGACGACGCCGACGTCGACGCCGACGACGACGGCGACGCCGACGCCGACGATGACGACGCCGTTGGCGAAGACGGCGACCCCGACGGCGACGATGACGCTTACGACGACGATGCCGACGATGACGGCGACGGCGACGATGCCGATGACGACGACGACACCGACAACGACGATGTTTCCGATGATGCCGACGACGCCGACGACGACGCCGATGCCGATGACGACGCCAACGACGACGCCAACGAAAACGTTGTTGTCGTTGTTGTCGTCGCCGTCGCCGCCCGTCGTCGTCGACGTCATCGTTGTCGTCGTCGTCGTCGTCGTCGTCGTCGTCGTCTCCGTCGTGTCCCCCAGATCTCTGACGGTCTGATTTTTGTCATTCAGATTTTTGCCCCGATTGCGGCCTCTCGGACCGCTTGTGGGGCTCCAGGGCTACCCCATGGAAGTCTTCGGGGTCTCCCCAGTGGCGCGGAACGACAAAATGAGATCGGCGGATGTCTGGGGCGTCGTCGTTGTCATCGTCTCTGCCGCAGCCGCTGTCATCGAGCGAAAAGGGAGCGGGAGGATGACAAGGAGGAGGAGGGCCGCAGTAAATCCAGGCTGCGCCACCGATGCTGCAGTGCCCGCTCCTTTCCTGACTGCCTTCGGCAGCAGCTGCGGCAAGAGCGCATGCAATGACATCGGCACGGGCAGACAGACGTGCATCAAGGGAGGAAAGACCACCCGGACCAGACAATTGGCTTTTACTAAACGGCCTTAGGCGTTTACTAAATTCTTTCCTTCTTTGGGTGCGTTTACTAAAAGGCCTTAGGCGTTTGGCAGCCCTGCCCTGTTTGATTCCTCCTTTGGGTGCGTTTACTAAACGGCTTCGCGTGTCGGGGGTGTTATTTTCGGGGTGGATTTTCTGCGCTCTAATGCAAGCAAGCCAGCAGGCGCGCTGACACCGACACGGGGTGTATTCAAGAACGCCTGTCGCGGAGACGCTTGCCTCCCGGGCGCGCTCAGGCGCCTCCTGGGGAGTTCGGCGAGGTGACCTTGCGCGGGTCCGCCGGGTGTTTTGGCGGCGGCCTTAGCCGAGGAGGAGGGAAACGACGGTGAAGGAGGACGAGGAACCGTCGATGCTCCCGAATGGCTGAGCCCGACCGTCAATCCCACCTGACCTGTATCATGACCTGACCCCTTCAGCTTTGGATCGTCGCATTGCCATATTACGCGCTCGTGGACAGCAGCAGGGTCAAGAACGCACAGGGCCAGAGAGAGAGAGAGACAGAGAGCAGTACAACACCTGCGAAACTGCAAACATCACCACCATATGCATACATACTCATATGTCTATATATGTCGGCGGTGCCCGGTGCGGAGCGAACCCCCCCCCGGTAATCTCTCCTGGGGGATTTCGAGCTGGCGCCATTCCCGGTGCGAGCCTGCACGACCCCCCCCGGTAAACACGACCTCCTCTGGTAGGCTGCACGAACCCCCCCGGTAAGGACGCAACCCCTCCGTAAGCGGCTCGCTCCCGGCACGCGCGAACCCCAGCCCCGACGCGCGAATCTTACCAGGACGGGCCGGAACACGGCGGCGGCATTGCATCCCAGGGCCGTGCCGGAACACGGCGGCACTGTTCTTCTCTACGCGGCCGTGCCGTCGACCCCCTACAGCGGCTCTCGGGAGTTGCGCCGCAGCCTCTCGTATTGTAGCCACGAGCCACAATACGAGAGGCTGCGGCGGAACAAAGGCGAGCAGACGCGAATAGAGAACACAAGGTGAGCACACGCCACACTTCGACAGGGAGCCACCCTTCCCAACCACCCCCCTGCCCCCCCCCAACCCACCCCCCACTCCCACCCCCCCACTCCCACAGGGGGGGGGGGAGCCCAGGTAGACGCAGTGCGGCCTGCACGAACCCCCCCGGTAAAGCGACAGGGGAGGACCCAATGCGGCCTGCACGAACCCCTCCGGTAGAGCGGCAAGGGGGGGGTGTTCTAAGCCGCTGGCGGCACCCAGTGCGGGCTGCACGAACCCCCCCGGAAATGCACGAAACCCCCCGGTAGTGCTGGGGGGGGGGTTCGTGCCACGGCGCACCGCAACATATATATATATATATATATATATATATATATATATAGATATGTATGTATGTCTGTCTGTCTGTCAGTCAGTCAGTCAGTCAGTCAGTCTGTCTGTCTGTCTGTCTGTCTGTCTGTCTGTCTGTATGTATGTATGTATGTATGTATGTATGTATGCATTTTTGATACATATATATATAGCTATATCAGTCAACATTTCTATATGTCTCAATATATATATTGTATATGTATACCTACATGTTATATATACAGATATATCGTTATGTGTAATCATTTCGACCTATGTATGAATGTATGTCTCGCAAACTTTTGTATCAATACGTAAAACATATACACATGAAAAAGGGATAATATCCCCAATCAAGTTTTTGTTAGGGCTATAGGGCTATGGGGCTATCGGGCTTTTGAGCGATGGGGCTCGGGGGGTATAGGGCTATGGAACTATAGGGCTATAGGGCCATAGGGCTATAGGTCTATAGGGCAAAAGGGCTATAGGGCTATGGGACCATAGGGATATAGGGCTGTAGGGCTATAGGGCTATGGGGCTTTGGGGCGCTGGGGCCACGGTGCTATCGGGCTATAGGACCATAGGGCTATGAGTATATAGGGCTACGGGGCTGTAGGGCTATAGGACCATAGGGCTATCGGGCTATAGGAATATATGGCTATGGGGCTATTGGGCTATAGGGCTATAGGCATATAGAGCTATGTTGCTATAGGGCTATAGGGCTATAGAGCCATAGGGCTAGAAGGCTATAAGGCTATTGGGCTACAGGGCTATAAGGATATGGGGAAATAGGGCTATAGGGCTATATGGCTATTGGGCTATTGGGCTATAGGGCTATAGGGCTATACTGTTATGGGGCTGTAGGGCTACGGGGCTATAGGGCTATGGGGCTATAGGGCTACAGGGCTATAGGGCTATATGCCTATAGTGCTGTAGGGCTATAGGGCTGTAGGGCTATCGGGCTATAGGGCTATTGGGCTATTGGGCTATTGGGCTATAGGGCTATAAGTCTATAGGGCTAGAGGGCTATAGGGCTACTGGGCTATAGGGCTATAGGGCTATGGGGCTATAAGGCACCTGCCAACTCGGGCACCCGGGCACCTGGGCATTGGTGGAACCGGGCACCCGGGCACCAGGGCACCCGGGCACCCGGGCGGGCCGCGGAAATTGGCGGCAAAGCTCACCTAACCATATGAATCCGCTAGAACCCCTACAGAGGCAAGCTGTGATTGGGATTTTTTTTTTTTTTTTTTTTTTTTTTTTTTTTTTTTTTTTTTTTTTTTTTTTTTTTTTTTTTCTCTCTCTCTCTCTATATATATATATACATATGTGTAATTTTTTATATGTAGATAGATACACAAGATTTTAAGGCTCGCTGCGCTTCGCTTTCTAACCTTGGCCCTTGCACCTACGATGTTTGTCGGCGTTGTGGTAAGCATGCTGATGTTGCCCCAAACGTACCTTTCGATACCAGAGCGGCGCGGCTGTGTGCCACTGCATGAGGACTTGTACATTGCGCGCGCTGCGGGTCCATCAGAAACAGGTTTCCGCAGGGCGGGCGGGCGCTAGTGGGGGCAGCACTGCCCTCGTAGTGTGTCTGTGCGTGCGCGTGCATGTGCGCGTGGATGCGTGCCCCACGTTACAGCACCAGGAGGGCCCGATGACGGCCTACGAGGGTGCCAAGACGGCCGAAGAGGGGTCCAAGATAACCCCAATTTGGTCCAAGGAGACTCGCAAACGGCCCCCAACGTGTTCCGCAAAGCCTCAAGACGATCGAGAGAACCTTTGAGACGGACTTCGGAAGCGCTAGTCCGCCCAAGAGCACCCCTAGACGGTCCAGAGAACCCTAGAGAAATCCGAAGCGCCCCGAAGACGCAACCAAAACGCCGCAAAGGGCTCTCAAGTGGTCCCGTAGGCCCGATGTGTTGTACTTGCCTGCCTCCCGTGCTCTCTCGCACAGTCGCCGCGGAGAATGCTGGGCGAGCGCGGCGGCGGGACTTGCCGTGGGTGGCTGGATGTAGTTATGATTATAAAAAGCAGGCGCGCAGCGAACCGCAGGGAGCAGGAGTATTTGACACCAAACGTCGTGTCTTGTTCGGAACGTCGTGACCTTCAAGTCTCTCGCCCCCCCTCCAGCGGGCCACGCGTGGCGAGAGGTCTGCCTTGAGGGACCGAATAGGGAGCGAGGTTCCGCCCTGGCCAAAATCGCTGCCATGAAAGGGGCCAAAATCGCTGCCATCAGGGGCTTCACGCCATCGGCGCGTCGGCAGAGGCAAGGCCATCAGCACGCCTACCTCTTTGCAGCCTTTACCCGAGGACAGGTCAACTCGTGGCTCAGGGCGTGGTGGCGGATACGCACATATGTATGTATTTATGTATTTCTTTATGCATGTGTATATGTATGTATATAGGTCCGGGTGGATGGATGTATTGATGTAGGTAGGTAGGCCGACAGGTAGGTAGGTATTCATGCATGCATGCATGTATGTATGTATGTCTAGGTATGTCTATGTATGTATGTCTATGTGTGTACGTATGTATGCATGAATGCACGTATGCATGTATGTATGCATGCATGCATGTACGTATGTCTGCGCTTGGATGTGTGTGTGTGTGTGTGTTTGTATGCATGATTGCAGGCAGGCGTGTATGTATGCATGCAGGCATGTGTGCATGCATTTATATGTATGTGTACGTGTGTATATGTATGTATGCATATAGGTAGGTAGGTGTCTCTCCACGTATGTATGTATACATGGATGTATGGATGCACGTATGACTGTACATGTATATATGCATGCATGCATGTATGTATGTATGTATGTATGTATGTATGCATGTATAAATGTAAGCATGAAGTCGAACCATGCATGCATGTATGTCTATATGTATGCATGTGTGTATACTTGTATTTACATACGTACTTCAGTATGTGTACCCATGTATGTTTGCATGTACATATGTCTGCATATACGCATGTATGTATGTTTTCACGTAGGCATGTATGTATGTATACATGCATGCATGCATGTAGGCATACATGCATGCATGTATGTATTCATGCGTACATTCATGCATTCATGCAGGCACATATATATATACACACATATATATCTCTATATATGTGCGTACGTATATACGACGTATGTTTGCAGGCGGGTATGCATGCATTTATATACATACACACATACACATACATACGTACGTACATACATACAAACATGCATACATACACTGACAGACAGACAGACGGACAGACAGGCAGACAGACAGACAGACATAGACAAACAGACAGACAGACAGACAGAGAGAGACAGACAGACAGACATACATATCTAGACATATTGACAGACATACATATAGAGACAGACAGAGACAGACAGACAGACAGACAGACAGACAGACGGACGGACGGACGGACGGACAGACATATATATATATATATATATATATATATAAGTATATATATACTTATAGATATACACAATAGACACACACACACACACGAGTACAGCGGCGCCCCGCCAGTACAGATGCGCCCCGTCGCCCTTCCGTGGCTCCGTTCCTTTCGGGTGTGGCGCCCGCTTGTCGTCGCCGTTGCCTCTTGCGTGGGTCTGCCCGCTTTGGGCGCGTGGTGTCGCTCTGCGGCGGCTCCCTTGCCTCTGCCCGCCCTTCCGCGCCTCCCGTCTCATCCCAGTTGGCCTCGGCCGCTGCGCCAATTCGCTCTCGCCCTCTCCGTCTTGGCCTTTGCCGTGCGGCATGGGCTATCGTTGCTGCGCTGGCACGGTCTCAGGACGATCCGCAGGGCGCCCCTCGGCGTCGATCCCGTGTCGCCCCCCGGCCCGCCGCTCCCCTCGGGCGGTGCCGCTCTCTCGGCGTTCGCGCCTCCCCTAGCCTCTCGGCCGTTTCGGTGCCTGCCGCTCCTTTTTCGGGCCTCGCTCGCCGCTGGTCTGCCGATCGGGCTTCGCCCCTTTGGGTTCCTCGCCCCTGGTCTCTCCAGCGCCGCGGGTCGTCTGGCTCCAGCCGCCCGCCTCCGGCTCTCTGCCGAGGCCCCGCCCGCCTAGTCTTGCCGTGGCCGCCGCGCCGCCTGCGCTCGCCGCCTTTTCGCCCGCCGCCTTGGTGCGGCGTCGCCCTGCTGATGTCCCGCCTCCGCTGCCCGCCCTTCCCACCTGGCGCCCCGCCATGCGGCCGCCGCACCCCCGCTGCCTCCCGCCGTTCGCTCGCCCTCGCTGTTGCCCGCTGCCCAGCGCTCAGGCGCCGCTCCCGGCCACCGCTCCCGGCCACCGCCCCGTGAGGGGCCAGCCGCCTCGTCCTGTCTTGCTTCTTTATCTTTTCTTTTCTTTCAGCTACTGCGCGCTCGGCCGCTGGCCGTGCGCCCGAACGCCCTCGCAAATCTCCAAGCCGCGACGACCGAAAAGTGTGTGTTTTCCGTTTGCACTTTGCAGTGTGCGACGTCCCGTGCAATGTGCCTTCGACAATGTTTGATCGCAATTGGCACTTCCATCCGCTGCCCGCGCTTGAGGACATTCTGCGCCGCCGACTTCAAAAAGTAAGTACGTATGCGTTTTCCCCCTCCCTGGCTCCGCCCTGAACGGTCGTCCGGTGTGCGGTGCTGTTGCGCTGGTTTCGTTCGTGCTGCTGCACCGGGTTGCACCGCGGTGTTGTGACGTCTGCCCTCTCCTCCGCTGCACCTGGCCTATGTTACCCCACCAATCGGCTGGTCCGGCAGCCTTGCAGTTCATCACCACTGCCTAACATCGATCGCTCGATGATCCAGTGGCAATTAGCACCGGACTGTTCGCGCTTCAATTCACCTTGAGGCGTGCTTCTCGGGTTCTGGCTGGTGTTCGTTCGCTGGGTTGCAGTCCCTCCTACCCACCACCCATCTCTGCACGTCAGTGATTGACGCTTTTTTCAGTGCGCTTTCGATTATGCTCGATCGCGAATAGCACCTCCATATACTGCTCGCGATTGAGAACCCTCAGTGCCGCTGACTCACAAAGTGTTTGTGTGTGTGTGTGTGTGTCTTCTCGTTGTCCTCGTCGTCTGCTCACGTTTCCGCCCCTCTTCGACTTCTTTGTTCCTTCCGTGGTCCTCGTCCTCGTCGTCTTCGTCCTCGTCCTCGTCGTTGCCTCTGCTGTCGTCGTCTGAGGTGGTGGTTCGCCGGGCGGCAGCAGCGGCGCACAAGGCGGCGCGAGCGGCTGCGCGCTCGGCGACCCGTGGGGGGCTGGAAAGCCATCTCGGAAGCAGCAGAAGCACGAGGAGGATAATGATGTGGAATATGTCGCAGTACCGCCTTTGCGCCTTGGGCAACCCTGGCTGCATTTCCCCATTGGCACACATCGCATTGTCCATTCTCAATTTTGCCAGGTTGTGTGCGCAGCCCTCACAGCGCACGCGTCTCTGGGGGGGTGCTTCCCGTATTGCAGTGCGGGTTTTGCCCCCCAGGGGTTGGGCACTTTTTTGGGGGGCCTCTGAGACCGACCATTCTTTTCACATATGATTCTATAGGCTTACGCCACATCCGCCGACCCCTCATCTTGGCGGTCTTGCCGGCTCGCTTGAATCGGGCTGGGGAGTCGTGTAGGGGTCCATAATGACCTCTCTTGGGGCCATGTGGAATCCGCTTGGGGTCATCTCGAGGCCCTGGGATCTCTTGGGGGGCTTCTCGCGGGACTCTTGGAGGCAGTTTCGAAGCCTCTTGGGGGCCGTTTTGAGGCCGTTTTGTAGCCTCTTGGGGGCCTCTTGGGGCCTCTTGTGGGCGTCTTGGGGGCCTCTTGGGGCCTCTTGGGGCCTTCTGGGGCCGTCTTGGGGCGGAAGGCTCGAATTGTCGGTTCGGGCTCCCCCTCTTGGGCACCTTTTGGGGCTGTCTTGGGGCCCTCTTGGGCTGTCTTGGGGGCCTCTTGGGCCGTCTTGGCGCCCCCTTGGGCCGACTTGGGCGCCTCTTGGGGGCCTCTCGGGGCGGTCTTGGGGTGCTCTGGGACCGTCTTCAACGCCGTGAAGGCCGACAGGTAGTATATGATCAAAATGTACGTTTTCCCATAGGAATTTGACGATTTTCGGCGCTTCGGCTCACATATGATTTACAGACGAGGCGCGCCTATGCGCCAAGAATATAGGAATACATTCTGCCGCCCCGAATCACTTTCTCAGAAGTCCCTGTTGCATTTCTCTTAGTTGCGCGGAGTGCCCTTTGCGAACAGCGAGCGCCTTTGGGGCTTTCCATTTGGGCTAAAGCCCCGTTGCGAACGGGATCAGCCTTCCATCCTTCTATCTGTGACAGGTGCAGAGGGGTATGATCGTGCATCCGAAGGAAATGTCCAGCGATGCCCCCCTTTCGAAAATGAACCGCCCTCCTCCTGCTCATCCGTTGCGCGATGCCCAGAATCGCATTATACAACCAGTGGCAATATCAAAGGATGGCCCCATTTTGAAAGGTGCCGCCCTCCGTACGTTCAACTGCTAGAGCTGCGTGGTACGAGTTGGCGCGGCGTTGGCAGGTGATCCACATTTTGAGGACATTCAGCCTCCGCGCGGTGTGAGTGGCAG